ATTTCTATGGCGACGGCTCAAGTTGTATTCAACGCTGATTAAATCCTGTCAGATTTAACACCATAAACAAACACAAAGCGAAACTTTTGTTTGTCATGGATAAAGAGAAGAAGCTTACAGCCGGGATGTATTAGACGCCGAATAGCATAAGCTTCTTGCAAGCCTACAAATTGCGCCCTGATTAAGAAGTACTGGCATCTAAATTGAAGAATATAGTTTTGTGGCCGTATTTTATGACACAATAACTAAATCAGAGCAGACGTTGTTGTGCGGAAGTGAAATAAATACTTTGAGGTGAATTTTAATCAGTTCTCCCCAGTTTTGTAAATTGAGATTTTACATGCATGCCTTCATTGTTCGAGATGCATAAAAAAAGATATAATTCAAAATGTGTGTAATTGAAGATTTTTCAAATTAATTATTAAATCCGGCTGATCTAGCACTGGAATATTCGAATAAATATGGGACTTTACTTTCAAGCACTGACCGAGAATTCATTCAGATTCGAAGTAATGCCAAAACGACGCCGTTCAAAATTATTAGTTCCTGAAAACTGAGGTCGAAAAAATGATAATTCATGATATTCGAACCGAACAGTTTGGCTGATTGCCCACCGAGCAGCCCAAAACGCAGTGCATGAATTTTTTCTCTATTTCGCGCATCTTAGATTCAGAGACAAAGAAATGATTTATCATATCTAACAGTTCAAACAATCTATTTTCTCTTAGATTCATTTTCTTCGTTTGAAAAGAAATCAAAGACTAATTTATCTGAAAAAAAATCAAACATGCGTGCAAAATCGAGTAATCTGACATGACCTTCGAGTTACCAAGTCTATTGTTTGTATGATATACACTTTTCCTAAAAACTCCAGCAGAGCGGTTAATTGTGAAAGATGACTCACTTTGTTCCCATGGATATTCTAATTTTAGCCGATAGCTAGCGCCAGTGCAGTTTTGCAGTTCGCACTACTAGCTTTTTGATACACAGTTTGTATTCATGCTGTCAATTTAAATGTCATCCATCGCAGTGATGCGCAACGACCACACGGATTAAAAAAACTCATGCTGGAAGGTAAAGTTCCGTGTATCAAGGACGAATTCTCGTCGTCACCGTTTCTTTGCTTTGTTAAAGTGATGAGAATAAGACAGCATGTTAAGAAATTGTCGTGGTGTGATTGTAGATTTTAAAAAACAAAGTGAAAAACTACATTCAGTTACATAAGTCATAATTGTAACTTTTGCATAATTTATACAAGGATCGCAATTAGCAGGGTTCCAGGGATCTCAAGCCTGCAGCGCAAAGGCAGCTCAACATGAAAGTTGAAGAAAACAAAGAGATTAAAAGCAAGACTAATTTGCTAGTCAAAATTAACTAAGTGAATTTCACTGCAACAGCGGCAGAGCTCGCAAATTTTCGAATCTTGGTTACACTCTCTACCACCGACAGGTGCTTTTGCAACCAATAATAATAATAATGAAAAATTATCGAACCTGAGATACTACAACTTTGTTGGTGAAATGAAAACATTTCAGTTCCCCTTTTTCGGCGTAACTTATTTGTTCAACCAGTCAATTTAATTTCAGACGGCAAAATGCGACGGTATCAGGAAAAATATCAACGGCAAAGTCAAAGGTAGAATGCATGTACGATCGAGAAAAATACGAATACACTTTATCGAACGAAAACAATGGAGTCTTTTAACTCGCTCGAGCTTTAGATTTTGCTGGATCTGAAAGTTCTTTTGTTATGCAAAATTTTCAGCAGACGCCGTTTACACCTATCCGATCCGTCAACTATGTGATAACTACTTCCCGTTTTCGCTTTAAAATCTATATATGAGGTCGTCAGACTATGTAAATAGTATCTCTGAGAGATTCTCTCAATTATTGCCGCTATTTCCTTCATTCCTATGTGTATGATAGCCACAAGAGTTTATGAAAGACCATATTCACTTAGAAATCGGAGCATAGCGACGATCGATTGATCTTCTTGACAACGCTGATGAGTTTCACAGTCTCAAAAATGTTTAGTTATTCTCCAAATATTCCTTTTTTAAAAGCTGAAACTTTGAAAAATAAACCTTACGATTTCTAGATAATTTTCAAATCTGTGATTGTTTTTGTTTAGCAAAGAGGCAGAAATAACTGTAAAAAATTTATTGCATGATTTATTGAATTCGTGTTTATTCCTGATATATAAATGTATCCTCTAGCTGATTGAGAAATCAGAATAGACTTTCGCAAAATGTACACAGAGTTATAAAGTGTTTATCACGTCTAAGTAATGTTTAGAAAAGAGCTGTTAGACTAGATCACTGGAAATTCTACTTCTGAACGTTTACAATTAACGAGTAATGACCAGGAATATTGATTAAGTTTGTGTCAAGTTTTCACCTGACCAATATTTTTCTTTGTCCAGAACGCGATGTTTTTTTCCTCTCCTTTTCAGAATGAGAATTTTGAAAGAACATGGCGACAACATTGCCAATTTTTGGTCAGAAATTTATTTGTCAAATTCAACGCTGCACTGCTTAAAATTGCTCTAAATTCAAGCTGAAATGCCTTTTAAAGCAACCAGTAAAACCAATAATCTTTACCTTAATGTTTCGTCCGATCGAATGGTAACCAACATCGTCTTCTTCCGATCCGCTTTGTTTAAACGCGTCCATATCAACTTCATGTTTGGGCGCAAAACTCACTGGATCTTCCATCGGCAGCAAAATTCGATAGTTGACAGTCTAGCAAAGTTACTCCCTGAAGTTGCACTGCAGTGTGACCTTGCAGTCCTTTTAATCCCCAAGACAGGAGACGCGGTGATGTCCTCTTCTGATTGGCCAAGAGATGAAGTGTTTGTTAGAGCGCTTATTGTAATCAGGGTGGTATTATGCGGTGTAAGACACGATCACCTCTTAACAATACCTAATTGGATCCACTAAGCAAAGAAAAGGTGAGTCCTTTTGAGAGCCAGACGGCTTGGTTAAACAAACCAGCTAAAGCAAATACAGAAGTGATTCGATGACCATGAAAGTTGCAATATCATCTGCCTTGTACTTTCCACAAAACTACGCCCACTCAGAGTGCAACTTTAGTGAGCTTTTTGTGTAATCACTTATGCTTTGATCGCGTGTGAGTTTGCACAATTTATGACATCAGAAAGGGGCATTCATGACTCGGTCTATGGGATACTTCTCTCATTTAGTAAAGTCGATACCATTAAGAGAACATGTATGTGGGTAGTGGTGTAGTTAGGGGGAGGTCCTGACGTACCCTTAAACGCCCTCTCCCTCCCTTCCCCCCCCCCCCTCACTTCGCGGAATTTTTTTGCAAGTCAAGAACAACGAAAGAAACCTTATAGTCAAGATGGCGAAAGTGCGCGAATCCGAAGAATCTGCATGACATAAATCTCTCTCATAACTTGATCCCCCATCTGCCGGTCCTCGCTCAAGCCCTTTTAGATTGTGCTAGCATAATCTTTGACACAGTGCAGAAAACTAGAATAATTCTTGCTTTTTTTTTCATGAAAGTAGCACTGCAAGCATAATCAGCATATTTTCAGTTTTCTGAAGGGAACATTACCAGAGTCAAGACTTTTGTGGTCTTGAAGACTGATTATTTTCAGGTTTGGTCGATGGCCCAGCCGGTCTATTTACAATTTAGCAATGTTTTGGGGAAGAAAGTCACCGAAATACTGAATCGTTCGTCGTTTAGAGGACGACACAACGGAAGTAAAGATTTTGTCGGTCCCAGAGACCGCTTTCACAAGCAACAAAATGGCGTCGAAGAGAAACGACACTTACATTTTGACTCAGAACGTCACCGGAATTAGTCTGGAATTAAGTGCAGCAGTTAATTATGTTTTATCAGAGCAAGTATAACTGAAAATAAAGAAAATAAAGAGCATAGGCTGCTTAATCGTAAAAATTACAATTTCATCGATTGTGATTGTTTAAAAAAACTCCTATTTTCCACTAATTCACTCGCCAAGTTGTTATAGGTAAGTTCGTTATTGGACAGTTTGTTTTAGGACAATTTTGTTATCGGACAGTTCATTAAGAGAATCACATTCGAAGTTGTATTTTAAATCAACCATCAACCAGCAATCCATTTACGCCCCCTTTGTCAGTCTTTTAAGACAATTTTCTCTTTTCATTTCTAACTTGGCTATTTTTCTTTTCTCGGAAATTGTAATTTTTACGATTCATTAGTAATGAGACTTCGTGTCGTCCAATTCGGTCTGTGATCATACGAGTCATAACAAACTCGGTTGGGAGTCCGGTTTGTTTATCTACAGACCGAATTGGACTCCACTCAGTCTTACTGCCGTTACAATTAACAATAAATATGTAGTGTGTACTTGGTTTTTTGTTCCTTATTTGAAAAGCACAATGTAAGAAAAAGTAGCATAATTTTCAGAAACGAGCATAATTTTAAGAATAATCCAGGAAAAAAAACGAGCAATGCTTGTGGCATAATATGCCACTTTTACTTGCACAATCCATAAAGGCCCATCCTCGCCTTGTGACTACGAGCCCGCTGATGCACAGAGCAGCGGTATAAGCCACTTCGTATGTACAAGACGGACGGAAATTATTTACCGTGACTCCTCCATCCCCACCTTCGTCCCTTTGAAAAATCCCAGCTAAGCAACTGGTTTGTGGACCTGTTCGTTTTGTTTAATATTGATTTTCTAATTTTCACGCCTTGCAGGGCAAAGTACCGACGATCATAGCAAAAAGCATGAGGACTTGCACGTCTAAGCTACTGTCTCGATGGTCATTTCAAATGAGCGATTGCACAGTCGGAAAAAGTTTCCTTGGTATCTTCCAATTTAAGATCTTTGTTTTCGACCGCTAGAGAGGGAAAAGAATGTCATCAACTAGGGTGAATCTTTTGAAATTCATACCCAGTTATACCCAAACACATCAGTCGCGCTCTAGGCTAATGCGATAGCCTGGCACTAAGCCGAAAGTGCCGAAAAAGACTGGGGCCTCAAGTAAAGTCAAGATGGCGGACGAGCGTGACGGAACGGAGCATAGAGTGCTGAGAGTAAATCAGGTAAAGCTGGACAAATCATAGCTACAGTCCTGCTTCTTATCGGCATTTAACTGATCTAGCGATTTCCTTACTATTTATAGCTGGATGCTGCCCAGCTTGATGAGGAAATTATCCATCTTCTTCGAAATCAGCTGAACAAGGCGTTTCACTACTTCGAGGTAAACAAAGTTTGCCGATTTTATAAAACTTACTTTTTTTCTGAAGGGAAATTGAAGCTGAGGAAAAGAAATACATCTAACAAGCTCCTATTCTAGCTAGCATCTAAAAAGCTCCTATGTAGCTGTTTTTCTGTACTTTAATTCAACAGCACTTGAAATCAACTCTGTTAAGAAAGAGAAATAGTCATTAAGGCTTTAATTTTGCTCATCAGAATTTGCAAGTTTAGCGTGTGGGTTGGCATTAATTTTCCAAGAGACATCCCCCTTTCAGAAACACACTGAGCGTCATATACAATTCAAATACGGATAGACCTAGATACAATTAAAAAATTCCCGAAAAATGGCCTTAAATCTACCCGGAAATTCTTCAAAAAGATGTCCACAAATCTCGTTTTTCTCTTAAAAATCTCAAAATTTTCCTAAAAATCCAGATTTGTTTAAAAAATCATTTTCCAAATAATCACATTATTTGCAAGATTCCTGTGATGTAATTGCATGGAAGCACCTTCAAACTGATTCAGAATGATCATTTATTTACTAGGTGATGTAAGTGGTTCTTCTGCACATACATATTTTTTTTAGAACAAACAATAATGACATTAAAAATTTTTCAGAGTGTTACATTTAATGCAGTACAACAGAGGCCAAAAACATGACTATTACTGTTATTAAAAACATACCTGGCAAAATACCATTTGAAGCTGTAAATTACCCAGGGCTGGAGTCTAATTTTGGCTGTCAGCTGTATTTTTCTGAACATTATTGACTAAAAATCCTTTGATGTTATAAAAATCCTGAAATTTACTACAAAACCTGTATGACTCTAAAAGTCCTGAAAAACAAAAAAAAAAGGGAATTTTGTATGTAACCCTAATTTTGGATGTGTGAAAGGAAGCAAGCTCCAAGATCCAGAGTAAACCCTTTAGCCCTCAAAAGTGACTAACATCTAATTTCTCCTAACATTATCACCCCTGAATCAAACATAAAAGTTATGAGAATAAAGAAAATGATTGTGAACCCAAGACGCCCTTGATTGTAAGTATGACATATTCTCCTTGTTAGCATCTTAGGAAATGCATAGAGAACAGTATGAAGAACTTGCATAAGGATTTTATGGTAGAGAGGGTTAATATTATGTACTGCATTCTGCATCTTGTACAACTATTTCATGAGTTAAGCATCATGTTAAGAAATGTAAGATTCTTTCTGTCCTAGGCTGGTGTTCTCACAAAATATGAAGCTGAACTGAATGCAGTACTAAGATTTCTTGTGTGGAGGGTGAGTCTATTTATAATCTCCTTCAACCCATTTGGTTTTAATTCAACCTAACAGAGAAATTTACAAATGATAATTAACTCTTATACCCTTAAGTGTGACTAGCTTCTAATTTCTCCCTAAAATATTATCCCAGGGTGTGAAATTAACTTTTTTTTCTGATAGCCACTTGGCTCCTAAATTCTTCAAAGTGGTAGCCAATTCAAAAAAAGTTGGTCGCCATTTTCAAAGACAAACAAAATCTTTCTTTACACTGTCAGCATTCTAGATAGACCCTCCAAAATTAAGTTAGTCAAAATTAACGTGCTACAAAGTGGACACTAGGATGGATGATAAACAACGTTCAGGCTCATCTAAATCCAAGATGGCGTCTAGTTATCGATCGAGATGCATGTGCTACGTTTTGGAAACAAACTTAACGAGGAAGTTTGCTGTGGATTTATCTTTGCAAATCTTTTTAATTCACTATATCTCTTGGTAAGGTTATGATGAAACGTTCTAGTCGCCAATTTGGCGACTAACTTTCAGGATTTGGTTGCCAAAGTGAAAAATTTAGTCGTATTGGCACCTGTATTAGGCGCAATTTCATGGCCTGTATCTCTGAATTCAATATGAAGGTTGATGAGAATGGAGGAAATGATCACCAACTAAAGCAGCTCTTTGTTTTCAAAAAAATCTCCTTGTCAGCCCCTTAGGAAATGTATAAAGAACAGTAGAGAGAATATGTAAACTGATATTAGGGTGTAGAGGATTAAAGCTTGGTTTCAAAGAGTATGCATTTCTTACTGTTACTTTATATGGTTCAGTTTTCAGTGTACAGCAGTAATTCAACCATCGGTCAACGCATGCTCAACATGAAGTACACTTCAGCAGGTAAGTAAGTAAAATAGTAGCTTCTGTCACTTTGCTAGTTTATTAACCCTTTCACTCTCAAATCTTATAAGAAATTCTCCTTACTGTCTGCCACATAATTCCTATGATGTTAGGAGGGGGAATTTGGTATTGAATCAGCTTATATTGTCCTGACTGACATTTTGTATTTTCTTATCACTAGTCTGCTTGATGTTGTATTAGTATTGTAAGGAGAAGTTCTGTCTTGGTCACTCATGGGAGTTAAAGGGTTAATCACCCAAGGGTGGTGGGAATCCTAGGATACCATTGATCTATCACCTAGTATGACAAAGTGGTAATTTATGATTACAAAACATCTTGACATGCTCCAAGATTCTGTTAAGATGGTTGCTAAGGATTTTCCTCCTTCTCCATTTAATACTGCTTATCTATACCATCAATTTTTACTCTTTTCAACTTGTAGACTCTGATGATTTTAAAATGTGGTAAAAACAAACAAAAAAAGGAACAGAAGGCACAGCTGGGTGTGTTCTTATGTTCCTCTATGATCTATTATGATGCATTACTGCCCAACCCCATAGCAACATGGCTGAATGTATTACTTTGTTTAATATGATGAAAAAGAAAAATGTTGCTGATGGTGATGTCATTTATGCATCTGTCCTCCAGTAGATCATAAGTAAAAACCAATCAAAATGCACAAATAATTCAGCTTATCAGGCAAAAATGCATGTCACATCCTGAGAGACCAATTATCAGTAATTACCTTTCAATTTAGAGAGGATGTAGGAAAAGAAAAACCTTTGTTGAATCTCACACTTAATGACAACCACAGGACTAGCACTGGAATACAGTAAATTAAAAACTTCTTCTGTGTGTACCATTGCTGTCAGTAATAATTTCAATTTGTCTAGTTCTTTGGTGTATTAATGATGTGGACAGAGTACCATAAGAGGCATTTTAAGGTTTTTTCTTTATTTAAATGGCATATCTCAACAGGGAGCACTGTGAGTCTATTACAAAAGCTTTTGTTTGGTTTTTGCATTGTTGGAATACCCTATATAAGAGAAAGAAGCATTGACATAAAAGGAATTACAGACAGAATTTTGGACTTAAACTCTGTGAGTACTTGTTGGTTTGTATCTTGTAATATAGCAGTACCGAAGTAACATTGGCCTGCATTGAGATGGTGTGGGCTTCTACAATGCATGGTACCTTACATTGACAGAGAGTGGGGTGGGAGGGATTTGCACAGAGTAAAGCCGTAATTGATGCAGCATCAATTTCTCCCTTAAGGGAACACTAGTGAATTAGGAGGGAGAATCTAGTTGTCTAACTGAATTTATTTAAGACCTTCCTTTTAGTTCTGTCATCTTTTCAGTTGGTTTTAAAACATGATTGTGTATAAAAAAAGAAGTTCTCACATGGACTGATGTCTTGTCATGCTGATCTATACTCACCATTAGTATCAGGCAAGAACTTTAACATACACATGTGTAAATACAGTAAGGGGGGGGGGGTTAGTAGATGCTTCAAGTGTTAATCACAGACCAGTAAGTTAACCCTTCAACTTTCAGGGGTGATTAACATGTAACTTTTCCCCATAATATCCATACATTATCCAGCATATGAGTGATGAGAATACTCAAATTTATCAGGTAGAAGTTGAAATCTTGATCTAACACCAAATTCTCCTAACTAATTTATAAGGGAATGTGCACCAGCAAGAGGGGAGAATTAACAATCAGATCATAGGAGTTAAAGGGTTAAGTCATTATTATGTACAGGAGAGGTATGATTTGTGTCTTCCTCTTAACGGTTTGAAATGTCTTTTTATCCTGTAGATTTGGAGATATGTTAATGTAGGTGAAAAACTGTTTCAGTTTGCTTCTGTCCTTAACTTCCTCATTTTTTTACAAAAGGGAAAGTATCCTTTAAAAAAAATTCATTCAAAAGTAAAATTGTTAGCATAAGTCTTGAACCAGACAAATTTACTTTCCCTTGGAGGAGAACTTACCTTTAATTGTCCTGCCATCTCCAGATGTGTTTTAACAATGAATACAGCTGGTCAAACTGTAAGGAGGCTCAGATGGATGAGGGAGGAGGACAACCCTCCTTTTTATGTGCAAAAACTACCTCTTGCTGTTGTTGTCTTTTTGTTGTCATGTGCAAGATCCCAACTCGTAACAGTACTTTGTTTGCTGCAATTTTTTTTAATAAGATTCTCTGTTAATCCTGTTTATGGCTTTCTTAACTGCACCAAGATATCCTTCCCTTCTTGAACGTGTTCTTGGAATTCATCCTGTATTTGCCCAGCGACAATCAATTCGACAAGTCAGCTTTGATTTCATGACTCGTGAATTACTCTGGCATGGATTTGCAGTGAGTATTACTATATAGCACTTACTGGAGGTGATTATGGTCTTGCTTAAACTTTAATTGCTATAATATCAAACATTTCGATCATTCTCTTTCAGGAATTTGTGTTTTTCCTTCTTCCACTTATCAACATCCACAAACTAAAGAACTTGCTGGTTAGACGGTTTTCAAGTCCAGCTTCTCTTGACAAGCAGCCATCAATCAAAGTAGCATGTCATGAGTGTGGAATTTGTAATGAACCTCCTACTGCACCTCATCAAGGTCTGTGTGGTCACGTGTTCTGTTATTACTGCATCAAGGTAAGTGTTGAACAGACCAGTGGCTCAAGTAATGTTTTGAAGGGAAGGGGGTGGGTGTTAATTCAGCGTTAGCGCTCTAACGCAAAGTGCTATCCATTATTGGTGTGCTAGGGTTATTATTAGAAATGTAAAAGGTGTATGATCTATCTGAACTAAATGGGTGGCTGAAGTGAAGTATGCTTGAGCAGCAATCATAGCGTTTTGTAAAGCAACACATCCTTCGAGGAGGAGAGTGTGGGAGTATGCTCCCCCCCCGGAAGAAAAGTTGGAAATCGGAAACTCTCTGAGACGTGACTTCTAGTATTCTGGGACATAATTGAAGATCTTTCTTCAGCTGGACGTACTTATTTTATGTCTTTTATAGAAATTCGCAAAAAAGTAGTCGATGCAAAATGGTCTGCCACCCAGCAGGTTTCCGCCGCCTAGCGGCTCCTAATGTCGACCATGTTCCTCTGCTTTCGTTTTTGTACGTTACGGGGAAGGCTTTCACGGTCATGGCGATTCTGTTCACTTTAGACAAGATATTGAATGACAAAGTAAAAGGGGAAAGAAGGGTAAACAGAAGCATTCCATTCAAGGAGAGTAGCCAGCCACATTCTCTTCGACTCTGGATCTACCGAATTTGCGAACTTAGCACCATTTTGCGTGTCCTTGACTCCCTCCTGTCTCGTGTTAATTGTTATTGGAACAGACTATCGCTCTCGGTTTCTTCATCAAAATAACTCGCTTAACTGAAATAGTTACGTTGCACTGACATGCCACCGTTCAGTTTCATTGTTTTTGTTTCTTTTCAGGCCAACAGTTTAGCTGACTCGTCGTTTCCATGCCCACTCTGTGGTTCACCAATGGGTGATGATATTATCCCTGTCGAATGTACAGTCGCTTTGGAAGTAACGTGATTAATAAATATTCAAAAGCCGGTCGTATCCAAATCACAGGACCTCGACTTCCTGGAGGAACAGAAGAGTTCTTCAGCCCGATGCATATTTTGAGCGTGTAAATACGGTAAAATTTCCGCACAGCCCCATACTGCATTATGCATTCAGTTCGTGGATAGAGAAAACAATGACAAAAAAAAAATACATTGCCATTGGGAAAACAGATTTGTTTTACAACAGTATGGGGATGTGCGGAAATTTTAGCGTAAATACCTTATGTAGTGGAAAAGTTTGCAAGAAGCACGGCAAAAAAACTAGCGTTTACCATATGGAGAACTAAAGTTGAATTCACGGAAAACGCGGCATTTTTCTAACATTTACCAGTGTTTTGTACGGCAACTGAGCTTCAATGAGAAATTGATGGCCTTTGCGATACACTGAAAAATTAAGAAGAGGACGGGATTACTGTAAGATACCAATCGACCGAAAGACTCAGCGAAATAATAGCATATTAATGTAATTCATTTTATGGCTGGCAGCTCTCGTGGGCAAGGTGAGGCGAATCCTGTGTTCTGATTGGCTACCCAAGCCCATCCGGATTGTCCGCTTTGATCCCCTTGCGAGTAAAAATATTTGTGCCAAAGCCCCTACCCTTCGCCAAGCACAGGCTTCGCTGCGGAAATTTTTCATTCTGTTGTCACAGGTCGAACTAAGTAAACGTCATTTTTAGGAAAAAAGGCGACGGTTTGTGCCTGGCTTAGTGTGGGACTAAGCCTCACGTTTTTAGACGCGCTATCACCTTCACTCAACAATTAACCCCTCAGTTAAGGGTGAAAAGCATTTAATTTCCCTGTGGTTCTCTTCAAAATCAAACATCAAGGTCGTAAGTATAAAGGAAATAGTCGTAAATTCAAGAAGCTCTTGATTGTCAGACAAATTCCTCCTGGAAGTACCATGGAAAATGTACACAGAACAGTATGGAGAACTTTCATTTTTAAGTTAGAATGTCAAGGACTAAACATATGATGCCTCGTCAAAACGTTGCGCTTTTCCCATTTTATTCAAAAGTCAACCAAACACATGTACAGTAATCGTAAACATTTGAAATACAGCTTCTTTAACAATAATTATAAACTTCAGTAATCTCTTGAAATTATCACTCTTTCAAAATATATAGTGAACGTATTTTTCATTTTGTATCATGCTTGAATTTTTCATAGATCTTTCAATAATTTAAGTATAATTTAATATCTTAAAATTGCTTTATAACGTCAGTGGATGAACTGTATAAATTCAGCAGAAGAACTTCACGTTTGAAAATAAATTAAAGAGTTGGAGTGTCGATAAATTTTAAACTACATTTACTTTATTTTGGTTCAGGAGATCTTTGAAATCTCCGCGTCTTTCTCAGTGGCCTGGGGCCCGTTTCTCAAAGGTCCCGGTAACTTAACGCCCCGAGAAGCAGTTCTGCTTTCACTAAAGATGAGAGTTTCAAAACTTTTGAAAATTATACACTAACACTGTCAGTTAAAGGTACAAAACAGACTGGTTAGGTTTCCAGAACCTGCTCCTCTACTCATTCATTTTTGTTTTTAAAATATGCCTTCGGGCATGCTTTCGAGTAACAGACTGAAAAAAATCAATCTTCAAAGTCATTGAGGGCATAATGAACAATCACATTTAAACAAAGTTTTATAGGTAATTTCAGGGATACGACGTATAGTGGAAGAGGTTTTAAGTCGAAGACCACGAGGTACCCAAGGCAAAAGAAGGGCGGTACACAGTGTTGTCTTTCCAACATTGAAACACTACTGACTACGCAATCTGTTCTTGAGTTGTTTCAGTCTCTGAAAGCGATTTTGTGGAGTAGGCAAGATTTGTTTGCCCCATCTGAGTCCTCAAGTCTGGTGGACCCACTAACGTCCATTCTTGGTTGAGTGCAATCCATTTGGAGACGTAGCACACGGTCTTGCGCAGCCAGCGGTAGAAGAAAGCGAGTCCCAGAAGCGCTCCAGCGGAACCCACCACGTAGAAAATGATACACGGATTAGACACGCACCTCTGGCTGCCGTCTTTAGCTATGGAGGCCACGTTCAGCGTCATAGCTATGACAAACGTTAACAGCCACAGTATGGGAAAAGGCTTGTCTTCTGGGAGACGCCACTAATAAAGGGAAAAAGATATGACGCGTTAGCCAGAAATTGCAAGCCACACGAATGGGCAAAAAAATTCCGGATTTGATCTAAATTTCCCCTCAGTTAGCACCCACATATAACAACTGTCATCATACGCCAGGTACACTGAGGTGGATGGTTGTTTAAGAATATAAGAAGACAGTGAGAGATAATATAGCACAAAAAAAAGATCTTAACTAATTTATTCCTGTAACGATTACTTTCGTGCGCAAATCCCGCACGAGTTGCTAAGAGGTGAATAGGGAGGGAAAGCAAGAGTTTTATTAGCCAATCAGAGTGTCTTCAACGCTATCCTCTGTTCGCGTATATACTAACATACCCTGTATTGGTATATAGGCTGTTTACGCGGTTGCTTAAATGTAGTTCTGGGAAGATCCGACCACATTCTAGCAAGGAACATGAACATAGCAAAACCAACTGCACGTATCCTAATATTCTGCACTTTAAGACAACAACGACCTTGAAAACCACAACAGATAAACGAGGGATGTTCATGATTAAACAATAGACCACCTGTCGTTCCACACTGTTTGTTTACCATGTTTCTTAATGAATTCTTATCGAGTGTCGCTAGTTGGACGTTAGGAGTTTTGAGCGCGCAAATTTTTTTTTGTTTCGTTTGCTAAAACAGACTTTCTCGAAAATGGAAGCAAATCTGACAGGGGAATAGCAGGAATTGTGTATGTTCCTCTCAAAGCTACGGATGCCGAGAAAAAACCCGAGGAAATTCAAAATTATGAAGCTGATAGCTTGATCTGTTTAAGCGATTCAGCTGATTGGCTTTAAATACAAACTATCGAGTTTAAAAAACGAAAACTGTGTACAGCCATTTTCAGCCATCTAAATGGGTTTTGTGCAATAAACACTTGACAAAGAGTGCACATTTACACGGACATAGAATCCACAGCATTCACAGCTGGGGATCAGTAAAAGTGCTAACGGGGCAAATTAAACGCGCTAGGGCCCGAAAAATACTCCTATATTCCAATGAGAGACCTAAATAGCAAACTCACCTTGCTAAACGGCTTCCTCTTTCGTTTGACCGCTAACGGGTACAAACACAGTTCACATTTGCTCATAACGGCTCTCTGTAGCCAGCTCATTAAACACGAATGATGTACGAACTTAACAGATCCAGTACACAGACAGGGGCTAATTAAGATTTCAATCTCGTCGTTACTATGGCAAATCCTACAAACATCACTTTCAACCTCTGCGCTGTCGCTTTCAGAGAAGTATAGAGTTGTTGTGTCCGAAGGTGACTTATCACAACTTTTTTCAGTATCTTTTCCCTCTGTATCCGCTGTACTTTCCATCTCGATACAAACGCTTTCAGCTTGGTCCGCCATATTCACAATGGTGGTTTCGCCTTCGAGTAAAATTTCTTTTTCTTCTATGGCGGCTGTTACGGTAAGTTCTAGATCTGTATTTTCATTCAGTCTATCCTTTTCTATCATTGGAGCTATTTCCGCTGCACTCTCTCCACATGGTTGTTCGTTATAACGACCTCCCGCTGAATTGCCTAACTCTTCTTGTTCCGCGGAAGTAGAGCTTTCGTGTTCCGCTCTTTGAATTTCATCAGTTTTTGCATCGTCATTTTCCTTATTGTCTTGAAGGAGTATTTTTACTTGTACTGTTTCACTTTGTATTTCCTCAAGCTGTAGAGGACGATCGGTTTTAATGCAGTCACTCCGCTTAAAATTTGAACCTTCTTCCACAGTCGTTAACACTGTCACACAGTCCCCTTTGTCGCTATCAGAAAAGTTCCTCTCAGCCATTCGTGCTCCTTCAGTCAACTTAAAATCCCGTTAAATTCTGTTGGAAGCGGAGAGAAAAAATAAATCAAACATTGTGCAGAAAAAGCAAGGGGAACCCTTGCAAACTGGCACAATTAGGCTATTCTACGCAAGCAAAATACTGAAAATAAATGAAAATTAATTCATACTACAGTCTTCATGTTACAAATACAATACCATTGGTGTGATTCACTTATGACCACAAGAATACACGCTATCGAAATCCTTTCAAAGGAAGGTAGTTGAGGAATGGAAATCATTAAAACAATACTCAGAAAGGTTCGTTTTACTTGAATGACCAACCAGAATATAATTTTCAAGCAGCCATCTAAACCATTCGCCTCTTCACGAGAAAAATCATCCTACCCTGATGGATAAAATTTGAATAACAACTCCATGGCGGTCTCGGAATAGGGAAAAATCAATATTTTGATATCCTTTGAAAAACAGGAAATTGGCTTAACCTCTTTACACATCACCACATTAACACGGACCGCATAATCAATGTGTAAAAACATGACAACTTTACATGTACACTTAGAAATTTGAAAAACCCCACTTACGTCCTTTCGCTCTATCAGTGTAAAATGCTACTGACAGATTAGCTGTGAGCATACCTTTCGCAGCCGTCCTAATTTAAAAGAGCATCCTCTTATTGACGACTCCATTGGAAAATAAGTTAATATTTCAAACGAAATGGGCTGAGATGACGACACTGACAGTTGAATTACATACGGACCTTCTACTTCAAATGGCTTCGTATGGCCACAAAGGAAGACAAACAAACAGGACTCATTTCAAATACATTGAATAAAGCTAGCGAAAAGCTCGTTAAAAGCGACAACGAAAAGCGTCTAAAAGTATCAACGTGCTCTGCAAATATCGGTCGAACCAAATATGAAAAAAAAAAAAACGTCAGGGTTCAATGACTCTCCTTGTTCAAACTGACGTAAATCTCTTAGTGACGTTGACATTTCAAAAGAATCAAGCAAGTTTGCCGAGGGTTTGTTTGAAAGTAGACTCCTTTTTATAACGGTTGACTGAGTCGAACTAACACGCCAACTGTGGGAAAATGGTAGATGCAGTAGTCTCGCAAATCTATGTACCGAAAGGCGACATCTCGAAGTTACAATATTTTCGCTTTCGATAAACTTACGTACACAACGTGTTTTCGGTTTCGAAAACAAGTATAAAATTCAAAAATATGAAATTCATGATAGAAACCCGACTTAAACTCACACTTCATCTTAAATCTGTGGATTATAACTTAACTTTGTTTCCTAAAAATTACCCCAGAGAATTGTTCTACAAAAGACACAATAAACTACGGCCACCTGTAGTCATTTGCACATAGTTGATAGTTTTGTGACAGACAATTGGCGGGAAAAAAGACCGCGAGAAAATTAACAACAAAACGAACACTCGAGGAGAGCGTGCTACCCTATGGTGAAATAATTTTGGCCTCTCAGTTTTTTTAATAGCAATGGGTAACTGATTAAATTGATCCAAACTAACTACAATAGGAAGATCTTTCTCTCTCAAGACTGCGCCAAAACTCCTTAGTTCTGTTGACAGAAAATTCATGAACAACTTATAGAAAACAGGTTCTTAAAGCAAGCCGGGCACTAAAAAAGATCCGAATGTGAGACTTACTTGAACAGTAACAGTGTATTATTTTCAGTTCCGTTTGGTGCCTTCTTTTCTATCTCATCTGGAGCAAAGCCCACGAAATTTGCCTCGATCGATTAGGCAGCGACTTAAACTTAATTCGACCATACATAAGCGGCCTGCCAATATTAGTCGCTAATGTAGCTTGTCACCATATTGAAGAATTTTCAATTTCCCACGACCAATACTAAAGGCTCTATTGATGACAGAATAACGAAATGTTGGTTTCTCAAGAGTTACAGGACTTCCTATTCAGATAATCTTAATTAGCACTTTGAAAAAAGCACAGGACCCGTAGATAAACCCGTTAGATCAGTAGCACTATGCGCGGGAAAATACCGTGGGAAAACCAAAATGGCACGACGTTGATTGGCAGGTTTGCCGCTGAACATGCGTTGCGTTGTGTTCCAGGTGTCGCATTTAACAGGCTTTTGAATCAATCTTTTCTTTATCTTCAGCGTCTAAGGAAATTTATCAAATAAAAGATCTTTGTTGAAGAATATGGTCACCAGAAAAATAACCCTGAAAAAGATTTCTATCAACTGTGTCGTGACAAGAAGGGCTTAGCTCAGGGTAAAAAAAGATTCTATTAGGCACCAGTCGATAAACTTTCACGAGCACGTTTCCAAAAGCTTGGCGCTGGTTCAAAAACCCCTTGAACTCATCAATATAGCAATCCTTTGAGCTACGAAAAATTAATTCATTTGATATTCACGGCAAAGCTCACTTTCTTTTCGGCTCAAAATCTGAATTCCTTTTTGTCTTAAGTAGTTCGCTCGTGAAAATATTGGTCCAGATGTTTATAAAAGCCGCGAATCACGTGGGACCGCATTCTACAACTTTCCCCAGTCTTTATTACAAATTCTTATCACATACGTATTCCTTCAACCTTTTAAAAGTGATATTAATGTGCGCCAATATTCCGGTTAGTACATTACTCTGTTGCACCGACACACAGGTGAATAAACTACCAACATAGCTTTTAAACAACGAACTTAGCGTACGAACAGAACGATATTTTCCACATCTTCTTGTACCTCTGCAACGATACTCCAATTGGCCATAATAAATTCAAACAAATATAAAGCAAATAGTACTTTAAATATACTGTTGGTTAATATTCCAAAGCGATAAATTGTGATCCCTTACGTGAGTAACAAGAGGTTTCAGGGCGCGGCCTCCAAAACAGCACAGAAACCCTATGCAAGGAAGCCCTTTTCAGCTTTCCATAATACCCAAATCTGCTTAGGAAACATTTGCTTTGCCCTAAGACGCAGTCATTGTGGATAAAACTAATTTCAGACTCTCTCAAAATCTCAACAAACTGCACAACAAATGATGAGAAAATTTGTCTTAAGTACTTTTACTTCACTGTTGCCGGAGAACGAGATATGGACCAATATGGGTCCCTTTATTGTACACATCTACATTTCCTAATGCAAGCCGCTGACAAAACTTAAAGATATCGTCATTTCATAAAACGACTACACGACAGAATTAATACATCTGAAAACTAAAACAGGAACGCCATGGACCCTCTATTTTGAGAAATTATCAATTATCAATTTTTTAAAATTCGACTTTGAGCCTTTTCTTACAAGCATAACACATGGTAGCTTAGGGCGCAGAATCATGAAAAAAAATTTGAGCATCTGGAATAATTTTCATTTCCGTCGTTAAGTTTGAAATTAGGTTTGTCCTCCTAAATTTTGTCACAGTAACATTAATACACGCTCTCGATTGGATGGCAGCCAGCGCACACAGTGAACGAAGACGAAGGACGTTCGAAACATTTGGTTAACATTAGTAGACGAAACAATTCAAATCAGACGAACAGTTGCCGGCTGAAGCTCACGTCCGCCAAATGAACATAATATTGTGCATTTGGCACGTGCACAAAATTATTCTCCTAAAGAAACTAGCGTAGAAATACTGAGTTCTTTAGAACTGAACCGCAGTAAATGTGGCTGGTTCGACTTAACCACCACATAACCACACGAATCACAGAATTGTACGAACTGATACGCCTTTGATAAAACGGTTAAAATCGTCTACCCGCAACAATACAAACGCTATTTCTACATCTACTCACCTAACTGCGCAACAAACAGTCTGCTACCAACAACAACAAGTGATCTGGAGGTATGAGATATCTACATGTACCAAACGTTTTTGAGTTCCGCTGGCGCGCTATTTCAACTTAATGGCCCAACCGCTCTGTTCATAATAAAGTTATGTACCAAACTGGTTAGTTTTAACCTGTTGTGAACTGATGTAAGGCCTCTATGTTAGACTTACCGCTGGTGGTCGCATTCAACACACAAAGTTAAGAACAGCCTTTTAAAGCAATGTTGATTTTACCTTCTGTTGGTGAAATTCATTCTCCTGAATCTCGCCCCATGAAGTTGACGTTGGCCTTACATAAATATTATCTTTAAGAATTTGAAATAATAAGCATCGGGCCAATCTTTTTAACAAGTTCAATAGCTGTCCGCATATCGTCAAAATTTGCATCTATTACAAAAATTTCCACGCCCATGTTAACCTAAAGGTCACCGTTTAGGTTATTTTCGTCTAGATAATAGGCGAGACCAAATTTACGAGCTTGCAATTGGGCTACCGAGTCGAAAAAAAACAGTTGGAACTTGAGGATTTGATGGCGGCTGACACGACTCTCTGCTCTTTGCCTGGGGAATAAAACTCTTGAGCGCGCCAATAAAGATAACGACATTGTTTTCACAGTCGAGTGTAAAAACCGTCTGTACATATTTGTTTAACTAAAGGCGCCAAAACCATTTTCACCAACGAACTTTCTCATATTGAATGTCTGATGTAAGAACACAAGTTTTCCCTTTATGAAGGGCGCCGAGTGAGGTGAAATAACCGCCCTTTGGCGGGAACAATCCTAAATCTGCTGATCAAGTTCTGTTGCCACAGTAACAACATTTTCCTTACTATATTAATAACGAGATGATCCACACTTCTATGCTTCATTCAACAATGGCACACTTACTAAAGCAGCTAATTTTAATCACATATCATCGTTTCGCAAATCGAACCACACTATAAACGACTACCGCAGTCACTTTCTTCCCATCAAGTGATCTTCGCGCTAAATCACTCTCGACCGGCTCTGCAACTTCAGCGTTGAAAGACTTTGAACAGAAGAAAAATGTCGCGTCTGAATGCTCAAAGAATGAATCGCTCATTTATATTCGATGCCTTTTCCTCTGAGTGTTTCCTATTTTAGCCGACGACCATTTTTACAGAACAAAAATAAAGTGTGTTTCTGTTTGGGGAGCGAACCACCAGAATTTCCGTAAAAACTAATTCTAAATTGCAATCATTCTCAACATAGTCAAACAGCTGCAGTCGTCAAATCTGTTCAACTCCTCTCAACTTTTTTCTCACGACCGAGTCATTTTGACATTAATTTGATTTATCAATTAATTTTGACCTTCAGCTTCAAGTACCGAGTTCCACGATGTTGTAAACAAGGGACCGATTGAAACATTCCTAGCAACAAATAAAACCGAAAAGAGATGCCACAGTAAAAAAGCAAACAATTCAGCAGAATTAGGTGAGGTTGCTAATAATGTGCAACTGAAAAATTGAATCCTCGTCCTGAAAACCAGCCGCGGTCGTCCACGATATTCAGTTACTAAGCTGTACTTTCACTTATGCAGCGTTTGAAGTGCATACTCAAGAGAACAAGTATTTCTTTTTCACAGGTAACAACGGACTAACTAATTGGAGCAATTAATTCAGAGAGATTGGACCTTTAGACTGGTCGCCAGTGAAGACGAAACATATTCGACCAAGATGGATGTCATAAAGAATGCTCTCAGTTACTAAGAGTTGCATTGTGCCTGAATGCTTTTGCGAAAATCTCGGAATGGTGAGAGAGATTTTTTTCTTCCGAGCTTGCACCAGACATTCCGGAAATAGGTCAGACGAAATAAAAGACGAAGTCTCGTTAGATTAAAAAGTTGATTGCTAAGGTCCTTATAGGTCCCTGAGAGCTTGTGAGTGACGAGATCCTGGGTTTTGGAATTGTGACAAATGTTACAAAAAAAGGTAATATTACGAAAAACTTCTCCCTTCCTTGAGGGAGAAATTAAGAGGTGCACACGCTTGTTGACAGCGGAATAGTTCTGACAGGTTCCACACACGCTTTCC